TTTTATTTTTTCCCACCTTAAAAAATTTTAAGAGGTGGGAATCACTTTCCCAAAATCCCCCCGGCGGGCTTGGGGGGCTGGGGAATTCTGGGAATTGAAGTCCACACATCTTAAAGTTGTCAAGGTTGAGAAACACTGTATTAAACCAACAGCTGACTATCTACAGTTTTCTTTAACAAACAGAAATTCCTCCAGTGAATCTCTACATATGCATGTACCACAAATAAGTCCAGTTCCAGAGCATTGTAAGATTACAAGGTTGGTTTTCAGAAGGAGGAAGAACTGAGGCTCTAATGTTGATCTTTGTTGACCTGCAGATGCAAGAGCCAGCTGGAGTAAGTTGACCTTGTGTGAACAGCTCTGCCCAACTCAGTCTTTCTTGGGAGCAATCTGGATCAGGACTCCCGGTCCGAATTTGTTAAATCCATCTATCTTATAACTGCTTGTATGGGCAGAGTTGTGCTTTTGTCTGCCAACCAAATTATGATCTGCACACCTGCTGTTTTCTCCAAAAACACCAACCGTGCCATTGCTATCTTTGACATTGACATTTTATTCACTTTGCTTCTAATTTGACTCCCTGTGTGGCATAGAGGAGAGGCTGACAATTGGCTGGCTTGACCCCCAGGGTTACAGCAACCGGATCAGGAGCTTAGAGCTGTGTTACTTTGGCCTGAAAGATTTAGTTTCTGGTTTAATTGTTGCACACTGTGCTGTTCCTCTCTTTTTATTGAATAGGTAGCTCAGATGCCTCCATCAGCCCCACCTGTATTAGAGCTTCACTGCATATTGCAGGAAGAAGAGGACTGCACGGAAGAACCGGAGCCAAAGACGGAACCCAGCGAAAAGCCAAAGGAAGGGTCCTTCCCCTCCTAACAACTGTGTGATTCTGTTTAAACCAGTCTTACTGACTGCTAATGTTTGGACTGTGGCACCTGAACCTTTGACAGAAAGGCTCTTGCCAATCACAGTGTTGTGATTATCTCATTGTTAGGAATGCTGAACGTACTGTAGAAAGATTATGAGAACTCTCTTCTTACGGCATGCTTTGGCTGTCATGTGCCCTAAAGTGTGCATTTCAACAAACGATAGATTTGATTATTAAAATCTTGCTCTGGAAATGTCATCCTGTGGTGGATGTTCTAGCTTTCACTTAAAGTAGAGATGAATTCCCTGCGAACTAGTCCACATGCTGAGGAACCAGTCCCATTTATTCTTACCGGGGTTGACTTCTGAGGAGCTGTGGATAGGATGATACAGTGAGTCTCTGGTAGGATGTTATAGCCAAAGGGATCCATGTGAGGTTGGTTGACATGCATCTCTCCTTTTTATTTTAATTCTTTGTAGAGCATTAGTATCTAATATGAGCAGAGATGATACTTCTGCTGGCAGAGTGATGCCAGACAGCCAGTGTGGTGTAGTGGTTAAGGTGTTGAACTAGGAGCAGGGAGACCCAGGTTCTAGTCTACCCTTAGCCATGGAGGCTCTCTCTCCTGATATCTCTGCACTGGACCCAGTTGAAAGTGCTGGTTTTGAGTTACAGAGACTTACACGACAAAAGACTGGCTTAAATCAGACACCATCTTGCCAAAATTGGATCTGCCTATCTGATGAGAGCATCTCATGAATGGTTAAAAACTAAGAGTCCTCACTCCATCTGATTAGAGGGACATAGACAATACAGGCCTTGGTGATGCCTCCAGAATCCTTTGTCCTCAGTAATTTGTCAAAATAGCTCCATTGTGTTATATAGAAGACAATCGAAGGACTTCGATTCCACCAAACCCTCAACCCTAATTGAATGTTACTGACATCCAACTTGGGGAATGGTTGGTTTTTTATTGGGGATGGCTGTAAAAATGGTGAAGTAAATAGATAATAAAAGGAGATCCCCAAAGAAGCCTTGAGCTCTTGGAGGAAACAAATAACACCACCACCACCCTCTGTCAGTAGCTGGCTTAGAGCTGACTTGCAATGAAGATGAAGCAGTACAGCATTTCCAGATAGGTAGCCCTTATCCAGAGCTAGTATATCAGCAGGTATAAAACGGCCTTCACAAATCCATAAAAAGATGATTTCTTGGAGTATAGCACCTTCAAGGCTGTGCTGGATAAACAGCCAACCTGCTTAAAAGCATACAAGTGTGGCAATGGGGACCCAAAAGATGAAAATGGATGAAAGATGAAATCTGCTATTATTTTATAAGAAAGCCAGGGGTTCTCAGGGTGGTGGTCGCCAAAAAAGCCAAGAAGGTGGCCACAACCATGTGATTAAGGCCATGCCTCTAAGAAAGTGGCAGGCTTTGATCCCCTAATTGTGGCTGCCGTCTTGATCTTCATGGACACCCCTGGAGAAAGCAGCTATAGAATGTAAGAAGTGGAAGAGAGATTTCTCCATCCGCCTGCAGGAATCCATTATTCCAGCAGCTCCAACAGATGATCATCCAACCTCTGTTTAAACATCTCTGGCAAAGGAGAGTCCACCAGTGATGTTACTGAACAATTATCATTAGACATTTTTTCCTGAAGACCAACTGAACTTGAACTTCCAAGATAATGTGGTTTCTTCCTCCCGCTGTTTTAACTGCTTCAACCATCTCGTACCCTGTTTGTTAGGATCAGTTCTAGGAGGGCTGATCCCCTTGTCTCTTCTGCAAAGACTGAAGCAGTATACAAAAGTTGTGAATAAAATAAATGGATTTTTTGGAAAATGAAACAGACCATTTATATATTTGAGGGACTTTGGTGTCTTGGCTGAATTATTTTTCCTGGAGAGTTAAAGTCTCTCATTACTATTAAGTCTTTCTTCCCTGGATGTTCTGTAAGCTGACCCAGGAGAGCATTATCCAAATCTGTCTGTTCATAGCACCTCTGTAATAATATCCCTGTTATTTCCCCTCCCTTATATTCCTACTCAAACACTCTTGCCTGGAACCTCATGAACTAATTCTTGCATCTCACTATATGTGCTCACTTCCATCCCATTTAATGCCATTCTTCCCCCTCAGTTGTCTGGCCTATTCCTTTTGAATAAATTATATTCTGTCTTTGCCTTCCTCTCATGAGTTTCATTCTACCAGGTTTCAGAATTGCTTACTAAATCATGTTTACCTTCTTACATGAGGACTTAATTCTTCCTGTTTGTTCCCCGTACTTTGTGCATTTACATAGAGACCCTGGAATCCCAGGGCCATTTAACTTCCTCCATTTGCATGTTCATTACTGGGTTCTTCCATATGCTGCATTCTCTTCCCAGTCTTCTTCTGAGTACTTGATGTTCTATTTTGCAGACTCTCTCCTTCCTGCCCCACAGGGTTCTGGGTAACATCCAACCTGCTGAAGATGACTGTGAAACTCAGAAGCACATTTGATTTTTTTACTATTGATGAACTATGCATTTGAGGGGGTGGGGGTAGGGGGTAGGGCATGATCTAATGAGCTAATATGATTTACATCCCTTGCTCTCTTGAAACCTGATCATCCTTGGGATTGCCTTGTTCTGTCCCACAAAAGATGATTTTAACAATTTTGTCACCTGTTCAGGCAGGGGACCCAGCTGGTTGCACAGAATGGATGTTCCACCTTCTCATCTTTTTCTTTGGCCTTTGGACCACCTGGAATGCTGCTATTGATATGCTTTTTCTAAAAATAAATCTGACTTGGAAGCAAAATCCCAAGGAAGCCAACTGGTCCAAGATCAAAACTCTTAATCTTGGCTGCCTGTGTTCGGTTTCTGGTTTAGCTTGACATGGCGCCATCTCTCATGAAGCTCCTGCCACCAGACTTGCTGCCAGAGAGGAAAGAGGCCAAGGAGCTGGTAATGTCCAATTAACAGGAATGATCTGAAATGCCTAAATGTGCCACCAAACTCAATGAGCTGGCAAGGGTTAGGCCTTCACACTGATGGAGAAGGTTGAGAGAAATGTGGTGATGGAGGAATGGAAGTCCCTCTTTTTATTTAAGTTAAAAGCAACTTCCAGAGTTAGAAACAGCTTTGGGGTAATTGATTTGTTGGCTAACCTCAATCCCCAAAGCACTCTTGGACCATAGGTGATCTTCATCTGTATGTCCTCTAGCTGTCTGCTAAGGACAGCAAATGTGGTAGGTTACCTTTTAAAGATGTGGAGTCCTAGGGAAATATTCCTTTTGCCTGAAGAATTAAAGGGAGCCCAGAAGGAAACACCACGTGTTTAATTCATGCACGTCGTAGGGGCTTTGTCATTCACAGTGACCTTCCAGGCTGAAGTATTTTAATTAAAAGGTTGTAAGCAAAACCACCCCAAGGCTGACCTATTTATTTATTTATCAAGCATTTACCTTCCAGCAGTTAGCAAAAGGTCACCCAGTTTCTGCCTGGTTTAAAGTTATGATTTGGTGTGGTTTTTAACACTCTTTCTTTTTAGATCAGATGAAAAAAATGCTCAATCAGTCTAACCTTGTGTGTGTGTGTGAGGGTAAAAGGATCCCTGCCAATCTTGATGCTGACTTGTAGGACAAAGAGTCTGCCAAACACACCGGGGACAAAAAAGTATTTCTTGTAGAGGTCTGCTTCCACAAAAGCCAAGCAACTGGCTAGTGATTATGGCCAATAATGAGATATTGATTGTTCTGCAAATGTCACTGCTGGAAGGGCAGAAATTCTAAGTATTGAGAGTTGTTGGTTCTGTTTCTCTCCACTTGGTGGCACTGTAGGGTTTCCTATGATGGACAGTCCTCCTTTTTATAATTGCAAAATTCTTCAGAATTCTTGTACTAACAATTCTTTAAATTATAGGGCCACCCACTTGAATGACTTTCAAAGAGAAATCTCTGAAGGATAAATCTATCCATGACTTCTAGTCATAATGCTATGAATGGTTGAAGAGTGGAAAATATTTGCAGCTCCGAGTTGAATGGTTGGGCTCTGGTGGACACCAAGAACCCAGCTATGACTTGGTCTTGGAATGGGAAGCAGTGTATGCCTCTTAATGCCAGATGCTGGGGAAGAAATGGTAGAAAACCATTGCCCTAATGCAGGGTAAGCAATGAGGGGTGCTGCAGGCACCAGATCCTCCCAGACATCTCCCCCAAGTTTCAGCCAAGCTTCCAGATCCTTTGGTTCCTTTGTCCCCCATGAAAATGTCTTGCATAGTAGAGAACGTATGGGGGCTGGCTCACCTTCTGTTAAATGAGTATTTTGTGACTGGTCATGCCCATCGTGTCAACCGTTTTGTGATCATACCCACCACTCAAAAGAACATCTTGGAGGAAAGCATCAGCAACTGCTTGTATCTCATAGCCAAGGAAATTCCATGAAGTCACCTTCAGCTGAGTGTGACCCAAAGGAAATATTCTTTTTACCCTCACCCTAAACAATTTAACCATTTCTGGCTCATTTTTGGGGGGCCAGTTAGGCCTGGAGAACAAAAATTGGGAGATGTTTGTCCTGCTAGCTGAGCATTCTGGGAGATGTAGTCTCTTGCAGCTGGGGAGCACCGTATGGCGATTCTTCTAGAGCAGTGTTTTTCAACCTTGGGAACTTTAAGATGTGTGGACTTAAATTCCCAGAATTCTCAGCCAGCATGGGAATTCTGGGAGTTGAAGTCCACACATCTTAAAGTCCCCAAGGTTGAGAAACATGTTCTAAAGACCCTTCAGTGCTTCACAGCTTGTCCAGCCATGCACAAAGTCTAGATCTCCCCAAGGCACACAGAGTAGTATCCTCAATTCAAACTCTGCATGATGTCTGTACTGCTCAGGAGTTGTGTGAGAATCACTTTCTCTGATTGTTCTCATTGCAATTCCAGTCTGCTGCTTAGTTGGATAATGAGATCCTTCATCGGAAAAACTAAGTAAAAACAACAGGCCCTCCCTTGGGACTTGTAATGGGAAGGAGAGCTAATATAGTATGTAATAAGAAGGACTATCTAATCTTGCTGCAAACAAGGAGCTGAAATATCCTTCTCTGTGTGTGCTTGTCTGTGCGCACGTGCGTGCGTGTCTAGGTGCCTTAATTCACTTAAATTGCATCCTCTAAATAATGCACATGTTTTAGATGCAAAGATGTTCCTCTCATTTTGTGGCTAAAGGAGATATTCTATTCAGGGTGCAAGGCTTGCTAATGATCAGGAACAAGGTTTCTCTGTGG